TGGTGATCGAAACACGTGTCGAGGTGTTAAAATGACGATTTGGTGTTGAAATAAAACTCCAGTAGTATTCATTACTACACCAAAAGTTCCAAACAGTGCATAACAAGATCACATTTGATTGAATTAAAAAATGTTTTTTATGAAAAAAAAACTCAAATTATCATTCGGTAACGATAAAAAATATATTTTTGAAATATCTGATAATGGAACCACGAAAACGTAGAAGGGCCGCATATTTTTATTTTTCGTTTCTTGAAAATTACGACTTTGATCTCGAAATTTAGTGTTTAATCTTGAAATTACAAAATTTAATTCGAAATTACGAGTTGGGAGTCGAAATTTCGAAATTAAAGTCGTAATTTTCAAGAAACGATTAACAAAAACATGTGACCCTTCTGCGCTTCCGTAGGACCGACTCTCAAGTTAGTTTTCGTTGAAATTGGAGACTATTGAATAATTCTCTTTTTTTTTCGGATACCCATTTTGATAAAATAACTCTTTCAACATGGCGACGCGTTTATGTTTGCCACATGATTGAAATAACAATCCGGTTCTTTAGTTCTTTTATCTCCTCATGGCAAAAAAGTTTTCCATTCTTCTTACAATGGAAGGTGTCTCCGGCGCAGATTTTATGAACCTTTTTTTGGATTTGTACACCTAAAACATAATACCAACAACAAACAACATTTCATATCTTCCTCTGTATTTGAGTTGCTCATTATGAACTGAAAATAGATGAAAAGAGAAATGAAAATTTCTATGTTTTTTTACCACTTTTTTTGTAACTGACGTTACTGCAGTTCCGTCCTATATGGACATAAGACAATAAGTTTATTGTATAAGTGGTAAAAAACATAGAAATTTTCATTTCTCTTTTCATTATGATCTCCTACCACGTAGTAACGGCTACATACATCAATTTATTGAAAATAGATGAATGAATGGTTGCACCCTTTTAGTCGAGACCAGAAGAAGTGTCAGCTGAGAGCAAGAAAAATGAGTGGACAACAAATAAGTGCCTTACGGAAGCAGAGGTAGCGGAATAGAGAACGGTCATAAAAGACCTTTAAAATGATATATGACTCGTTCCATATGCAACCCCTTCCAAAGAAACAGAGGATCAGGTTTTTGTTGGAACACCGCGTATAACTCTATTTTTGATCAGTAATATCGAGAAGCAGAGAAAGCTGCAAGTCAAATATATCCATAAGAATCAACAGGTGACCTCCAATATGTCACCCATCTAAGGAATCCATCACCCATCGTATGTAATCTAGGTACATGGAGAGTTTCAAGCTTTCGAGTTTGAATAATGAACATAAAAGATGGAATTGGAACCTCTAGCGTGAAGTAAATCCACTCTCCTACAGCTTTTACATACATCTGGGCCAGGGGTCTCCAAACTACGGCCCGCGGGCCAAATCCGGCCCGCCAGTGTCATCAATCCGGCCCGCGACAGCCAATGATTTACTGTCATCAATCTGGCCCGCGACAGCCAATGATTACCTAATTGTTGTTACTATTGCTGTGATAAGTTGAAGAAGAAAAC